GTTCTAGTGGTGGTGGAGTCGTGGATTCCCCTGCTGGAGGTTCTGACGTTGGACAGCAGCGGCAGTCTCGTCGACAGGAGACACTCTCGCCGCAGCAGCTTCGCGAGTGGGTTGTTCGGCGAGGCCGCTCTGGTTGGGGTACTGGTGCTGGAGGTGCTGGAGGTACTGGAGCTGCTGGTGCTGGAGGTGCTGGAGCTGGAGGTACTGGAGGTGCTAGAGGTACTGGAGGTGCTGGTGCAGGAGGTGCTGGTGCTGGTGGTGCTGGAGTTGGAGGTACTGTAGGTACTGGAGCTGCTGGTACTGGAGGTGCTGGAGCTGGAGGTGCTGGAGCTGGAGGTGCTGGAGCTGGAGGTTTTGTAGCTACTGGAGTTGCTGGTGCAAGAGGTGCTGGACCTGGGGTGCTGGAGGTAGTGGAGCTGCTGGTGCTGCAGGTGCTGGAGCTGGAGGTGCTAGAGCTGCTGGAGGTACTGGTGTTGGAGGTACTGGAGCTGGAGGCTCTGGTGTTGTCGTCACTGCCACCACCCGACTCGGCGCTTCGCCAGGTTCTTAGTCTTCCGTCTTCCACTGGCCTTACTCCACCTCTACTGTGCCCTCCGCTTAACCAGTCACAGCCGCTGTTACTGCCTCACTCCCCTCTGCCTGCTCCTTCTCCTTATCCTGAGCAGACAGACTCCCTGAGCGTTGTGAGCATGCGTCTCGTTCTGCCTCGCCTGTTCGCACTGTTAGTCGTACTTGTCGTGATCGTCCTCCACCAGTCCCCGGTACACACACTATGGCACTTCGTCCTTCCTCTGTTCCACAGCGTGTTGCCATGCCGTCTCGTCAGGTGTCCTCTCTTCCTGACGTTCCAAACCCTGAGTCTGACCTTGCTCGTGCTGCTAGTCCTACTCTTATGCATTTCCTGGCCACACTTGTCACTGACCCCTCCTTTGAGTCTACTGTTGCGTCTGCCTTAGTCACTGAGCTCGTTGACTTTACTGCTACCGTCTCGACTACTTCGCGAGTCTTGTTACTAAGTTTGAGTCTAACTGTCCTCCGTCCGTCGAAGGTGAGCTTGCCCTTGGCAGTGACATCCATGAGGACAGGAAGTTTGAGCTCGAGTGCCTCGCGGCTGCTGTACCTCATCTCGCTTCCATGCTGCTTTGCCCTGAGGGAGACCCGGATGATCTAGACATCCCGACCCCGTGCACTCACGCAAAGGCGATCACGGGTGAGTACTCCTCTCAGTGGCAGACAACCAGGGATGCAGATATGGATTCATGGAAGTCCAAAGGCACCTAGGTCGACGCAGTTTCCCCTCCTGGGGCGAACATAGTCGATGGCATGTGAAGCGGCCGCCGGGTTCTCCGCCTGCCTTCAAGGCGCGATACGCTGCATGAGGCTTCAGTCAGCGACAGGGGGTCGACTTCTTCCATACCTTCTCCCCCACCCCAAAGATGACCACTCTTTGGGTGATACTGCACGTTGCAGCACAGCGTGACTATGGGCTCCACTCGCTTGACTTCAGCACAGCTTTCTTGCAGGGCAGCCTTCACGAGGAGATCTGGCTGCGCCGCCCACCTGGCTTCACTGGGTCGTTTCCTGAGGGTACCCAGTGGAGCCTCCGGCGGCCAGTCTACGGTCTCCGCCAGGCGCCCCGCGAGTGGCACGACACACTGCGGACGACACTTGCAGCTCTTGGGTTTTCCCCGTCGACTGCTGACCCTTCACTGTTTCTGCGCACCGACCCTTCTCTGCCACCGTTCTACGTCCTCGTGTACGTCGACGACTTGGTCTTTGCTACTGCTGATACTGAGGCACTGACCCTTGTAAAGGCGGAACTGCAGAAGAGACACACCTGCACTGACATGGGTGAGCTGCGCAGCTATCTTGGCTTGCATATCACCCGGGACAGAGCAGCGCGCACCATCACTCTGACTCAGTCACACATGGTGCAGCAGGTCCTTCGGCGCTTCCGTTTTCAGTTTTCCTCGCCGCACTCCACTCCTCTGGCCGCGAACCACTCGCTCTCATCTCCACCTTCGGACGAGTCCGTAGAGCCGAGTGGTCCGTATCCAGAGCTTGTGGGCTGCCTCATGTACCTGATGACCTGCACTCGACCAGACCTCGCATACCCTCTCAGCATCCTGGCGCGCTTCGTTGCGCCCGAGAGACACCGCCCTGAGCACTACTGGGCTGCGCAGAGGGTATTGCGTTACTTGTGTAGCACGTCAGGCATGGGGCTTGTGCTTGGAGGACGGGGTAGAGTTGTGCTCACTGGGCACTCAGACGCTTCTTGGGCCGACGACGAGGAGTCCCAGTGCTCGTCACAGGGTTACATCTTAAGTCTTGGTGCTGATTCTGTCTCCTGGAGGTCCACCCGCCCGTCTTCTGTACTTAGTTCCAGCTGTGAAGCAGAGATCTATGCTGGGGCTATGGTTGCACAGGAGTTACGCTGGCTGGCCTACCTGCTGACTGACTTGGGTGAGCGGCCTCGTTCTCCTCCAGTTCTGTACGTCGACATCAAGGCCATGATTGCCTTGTGTCGCGAGCAGAGGCTGGAGCGCGGGAGCTACAGCAGCGTGGTCAGCTTCGCCTTGCGTACGTGGCCTCACAGGCCAACACTGCTGATGTCTTCACGAAGGCCTTCAGGTCTGGTGACCATCAGCGCTTCTGCACTGCTCTTGGGCTTGTGCCCACTGTGCCTCACTTGCTTTTTTCTTGATCTAGTTTTGCCCTTGTTGTACACTGCTATATATCTGTATACCTGCATGTTTACACTTGCTAGGTTGTGATCTGTGTACTGCCATTGCTATTATAACACTGCATGTGAACTTGCCTTGTGGCCGCTTACTTGTGATCGTGCGTGGTGATCTTGAGATCCACCCTGAGCTTTGCTTTGTTTGCTTCTCTTGACTGGTCTTGTGACCACATGCTTGTCGTGGTCGTTTTGATGCAGCTCATCCAGGCTATGTGGGTGTGTCAAAGTTATATTTCATATATTTGTTTAGCCTGTAGTGAGTTGCCCCTTAGGGGTACAACATTGCTCTCGACACTTGCCTTGTACCCCTCCCTTGACCTAATCTAGTCATTCCTTCCTACCTATCTCAACACTTATTTCCTATTTAGTTGTGCTTGTTTCTTGTTTTCTTTGTCCTTTCTTCATTTCTTACCTTCTTTTATTTCTCTGATTTTGTATTCTCCTTCTCTGGCCTTTAGTAAATGAGGCTGTTTTGATCACTCCGTTTTGAACATGCTCATGAGATTACGTAACTTCTTAATGAGAGACCATTGGAATGCATGATAGAGTGTGGTTTTTTCCTACTACCTCCTACATTCTGTGTTTACAGTTTTGATGTTATTTTCATTCGGTAGGCGTAATGTTTTATTTTTCTTTCCCCCTCATACTTTCATCCACTGTTTCGCTTCATCTTATCTCAGTTTTTTATTCATTTTCTGCTTGTATGTTGTCCTTTATATCCCCATCTTCCATATCTAACCTCTGGTTTTTTTTCCTTTGGTTATCTATTCTTGCAACGTTTGACTTATTCCTTCGTGTTCTGATTCGCCCACTTCATTCATTTCGTTGTTCTTTCTTGCATTCTCTCTACCTTCCTTGCCCACATCCGTATTATTGTCTCCTGCTTTCATCTGTTCTCTATTTAAACGTTGCCCATGTCGTATGTTTAGTTAATGTATGATATTTGTCGGTTGTAAGTTGTGTGATTTCCCCCTCCAAATTCTATTCCCCGTCCCCCCCCTTTTGTTTGTCTATTTCCTACTCCTCGGAGGCTTTGCTGTACCATTCGGAAATTCAAGGTCCTTTTTTAAAACAACGAAAGGTCACAGTTGTGGCGATTTGTAGGATTAATAGTGTTGCATTGTTTTGGCAGTTCTCTTTTGCATCTTCTGCTTTGTTTATTTATCGTAAGTTTCTTTTACATTGGTTTGTTCCGAGCTTCTGTGCGTGCGTGTGTATCGTTCTGGTTACGTGCGTATGTGTTCGTATGTGTGGCATTCATCTATCAATATCCTATCAGAATGAGAACAGCGGAATGATGTGTGATTAGCAGCAGTGAGATACAAGTATGCAACTCTAATGGGTCGTACCCTATATGGGCTACAAGCATATGATGCATTTTGACACACCCCCATAGGCAAAGTGGGGGATAGCAAGAACAACCAACGGTCACAAGTGAGGAAGCAGAGGAAGGAGACCTGAGGGGCAACCAGTGAAGGAGGTAAAGGAGAGAGAAGAGCAAGGAAGAAGTGAGAAGTGAGCAAGAAGTGAGAGCAATGTGAATATCTGAGAGGAAAGCATCAAGGAGAGAGCAGGAATATGAAGGCAAGACGAGAGGTATGGAAGGAGGCGGGTGAGATCCGACAGCTGTCACATTTGCATGAATGTGAAGGGGTAAGGGGGGGAGCATATGGGGTGTACTGATTGTACATATTGTACATAACGGGTGAAGCGGTTAGCGAGGATGGGAGGCGAAGAGTCAAACGGCGTTTCAAGGGATGAGGGTGAGCGGGGAGGAACTGGCGCCTCCTGACGCAAGGGGTGGCAGATCTGCATGGGGAAGTTCCAGTGAGGCGGCACTTACGTAAGCACGGGAGGACCGAATGTAAACTTACAACACCCAGCAGCGGCAGCGGGAAAGAGGGCGAGGAAGCGGCAGTGGATGGGTGTTTGTGTGCTTGCATGTTTGTTTCCCCTACTGTTCGCAGGTACATACCAAGGAGCCAGTTGGATCAGCACTGTGTCAGCTGGAGGCAATGAGATCAGAGGCATGAGGGTTGGCAAGAAGCAGCACGGATGTAAGCCTGCTCAAAGACAGTCTTAGCTATTGGCGACTAGGCTAGGAATGATGGGGCAGGCGCAAGAAGGGGGGCATGCTGGTAGAATAGGCGGATTCTTGCTATGTGTTCCTCATTGCTTGTATGTTTCCTTTCAATACGAGATTCTTGCGGTAAACAGAGCAAGTTGTCAACATAAGGAGATATGGCAAGCAAGGGATAGACTAAGCATAGTAGGGTGTGGCTATGTGAGGGAGCATAGAGCTCATCAGGAGAGTGCTCATCACGAAGGCAAGCAGTAGGCCAAGAGAACCACAAGAAGCAGAGGAAGGAGACCTGAGGGGCAACCAGTGAAGGAGGTAAAGGAGAGACAAGAGCAAGGAAGAAGTGAGAAGTGAACAAGAAGTGAGAGCAATGAGACTATCCGAGAGGAAAGCATCAAGGAGAGACTAGGGATATGAGGGCAAGACGAGAGAGATGGAAGGAGGCGGGTGAGATCCAACAATACGAATTGGGCTTGGACATTTTTTTTTTCAGTTTTGTAATACATTTTGTTTGCAAATGTATCGCTGTATTACAAATATATATATATATATATATATATGTGTCTATGCACGCCCCATATGTATATATGTCTATGCACGCCCCCCACACAGTTGGTGCATATGTAATGCGTAGCGTGTGCGTGGTGTAGAATTTTGAGACCAAGATCTTGGGGCACCTCTTTTTTATAAGACACATCGCAACGGCGTGTGCACATGTGAACTGGTTCCTGCCAGTTCCCACACTCACAGGCCCGGGCGACGAGGTCGACATTGTAGCTCCGCCACTCGGACTCGTGCTCCCCTCCACGCGTCTGGATCGTTCCAAAATTCCGTGTGCCCCCGAGAAACCAGTAGCCCTGACTTTTGTTGATCTTGATATGCACCCGTGTTACTGCTGCTTGTGAGAAATACTCATCCCGTTGCATTGCATGATCAAAACGCTCGACCCACTTCTCCCTGAACCAGTCCCATAAGGACGCCAGCAGGTAGGTTGGAGGCAGCATCCTTATGTATCCCACTGCACCGTTGAGGGTCTCCGCGGCGTTGCTGGTGGATATCCCGAAGTGTCGAGTGATGGCAAAACGCCGTGTCCAATGGAGAAGCTGGATTCCACCAATCCGATACTTGGAGCCCTTCCTATTGCGATGGAAACACGTGTGCATATAAATCCCTCCTTCTTCCTCGCCCTCGCCGACATCCCCACCAGTGGCGCCCTCCCCATCCCCACCATCCTCACCTTCGAGCCCAGGTTTATCCTGCTCGGCATGAAGCGCATCTCCATGAGCCCCAGTATCCAGCCACGGCAGCGCAAGGATCTGTGCCAATCCCGAAAGTAGGTGCTCCTCATCCAGAGCGGTCGCCCGCCAGTCTTGTGACCGCCGTGCACCGTCTGCATCGTTGTTGACCCTATTCTTGATGGACGCGGGCATGTACCCTTCGTGTGCTCGCTGCATCAAAGCGTCCAGGTCGAAAGGTACCCTTGTTGGCTCTCCCCCGCTGGATTCGTACCCAACCCTTCCCCCTCTGTCGCACCACGTAGCCCAATGTATTCTCCATCATCCATCAGGAAATACGTCTCCCATCCCCAGAGCGCTTTCAAGCCCATCTCCCCCATCATTGCCACCAGGTACGTCCCCGGAACCCCAAACAATCCCCACATCACGAAACATTGTTCTTTCATCTCCATGCACTACCCCCTCACCCTCTCCTGCTTCGCTTTCATCTCCGCCCCCATAACATGCCCTTCTTCCAAAACCCATCCGCACTACTCCTCCTGTTGTTAGGGCAGGTGAAGTCATGCCAATGCCCGCATAACGCGTCGCCATCCCCATTCCCAGTCCCACTCCCTCAAGCCCAAGTTCCCCTCCCGGTTCCCGAGTGCACGCCCCCAAGGCCAGCTCCCCTCCCGGTTCCAAGGTGCACGCCCCCAAAGCCAGTTCCCCTCCCGGTTCCCAAGTGCACGCCCCCAAGGCTAGCTCTCCCCCCCCCAGTTTCAAGGTGCACGCCCCCAAGGCTAGTTCCCTCCCGGTTCCAAGGTGCACGCCCCCAAGGCCAGCTCATGTCCCGGCTCCAAGTCCCACGCCCCCAAGACCAGCTCCAGCACCCTCGCCCCCAAGCCCATAAACCCTTCCGGTTCTAAGGTGCACGCCCCCAAGCCCAGACCACCCGCCTGTTCCAAGTCCCACGCCATCATGACCAGATCCGCTCCCTTCTCCAATTCCCACGCCACCAACGCCAGCTCCCCTCCCACCTCCCAGTCCCGCGCCACCAAGGCCGACTCCCCTCCCGCCTCCCAGTCCCGCGCCACCAAGGCCGGCTCCCCTCCCGCCTCCCAGTCCCGCGCCACCAAGGCCGGCTCCCCTCCCGCCTCCCAGTCCCGCGCCACCAAGGCCGGCTCCCCTCCCGCCTCCCAGTCCCGCGCCACCAAGGCCGGCTCCCCTCCCGCCTCCCAGTCCCGCGCCACCAAGGCCGGCTCCCCTCCGGCTCCGAGTCCCACGCCACCAAGGCCAGCTCCCCTCCCGGCTCCGAGTCCCACGCCACCTAGACCAGCTCCCCTCCCGGCTCCCAGTCCCACGCCACCTAGACCAGCTCCCCTCCCGGCTCCCAGTCCCACGCCACCTAGACCAGCTCCCCTCCCGACTCCCAGTCTCACGCCACCAAGGCCAGCTCCCCTCCCTGACCCAACGTGCACGCCCCCAAGCCCAGCACCAGCACCTACTCCAAGTCCCACGCCACCCAGACCAGATCCCATCCCCGCTCCAAGTCCTACATCACCCAGACCAGACCCCATCCCCGCTCCCTGTCCCACGCCCCCAAGCCCAGCTCCCTCGCCTCTGCCGAGTCTAGCGCCTCTCCCAGGCATGTTCTCATGAGTCCCCAATCCACCGTCCGAGGTACCCAAGCCACTGGTGGAGACTCCGACCCCGCCTGTAGGGGCCCTGCCACTAGCATCCTCTTGCCTGCCGCTCTCCATCCCCACCCTACTGGTTCCTCTTGCACTTCTGGTACCACCCACACCCCTCCCAACCCCACTATGGGCATTGCCTCTGGGTCCAAATATGCCGAACCCTCTTCCACTACTGACACCAAGTGAGACGCCACCGTACTGGAAGGTGCCGCTTCCGGGAACGCTGCGTGTCGTTTTCCTGCCTCCGTTTCCACGAACCCCACCATCGCTGGCTTCACCACTCTCCTGTGTTCCCGGAAAGTCAGCCACCCCGGCCGCACCTCTGAACCGACTCCTGAACACCTCGACATTAGGTGCGTTCAACCCACCTCTCCCCGCGAGTCCACCACCTTGCCAGTTGTACCTAGCATATCCCGAACCCGGGATGCCATGCCATTCGCAACAGGCACTTCGTTGGCAGCCGCCGCCGGCCCCTGTTGCGCATTTCTTGCCGTCCGGCGCCCATCGCACCCAGCCTAAAAAACTTGATCTCATGCAACAACATATGTTCCGCGCGCTACTGGCGGTAGTTGTGCTTTTGAAGTTGATGGAAATTCGGGATCGGTGGATCCTCCCTCCTAAAGATGTATGCATCCATGTCTGGAAAGTCGCGTCGGCATGCTTCAACTAGTGCCAGCCACTTGACTTTGCTCCCGCATCTCAACAGCCTCCTTAAAAACTTCATAGCAGCTGTTTTCGTGGCACTTGAGGTCTTGTTTAAGGTGCTAGGCAAAGAAATTGTGCGGAGTGTGACTAGGCATCACCTCGCGGGCAGCCGGCACCAGCCCTTTGTCTCGATCGCTGATCATCGCAGCATGTTTACGCTGGACCCATTAGGAAAATCCCTTCGAGGAAGATCTTCAGAAACCAGGTCCATGAGTCTTTGTTCTTGGACTCCACCAACCCCCATGCCAGCAATAGCACTTTCTAGTTGCCATCGAGGGTTACAACGACGAGGAGCACCGCCTTCTGCGCGCTTATTAAGTGTGGCATGTCGAACGCAACCAACGGACGACAGAAGTTGAGGGCATGGCGGGTCGCGGAGGGTCGCACGAAGAACCCGTGGAACAACCCCCCTAGTCTATCCAGCTGCACTTTCACTTCGGGGTCGATGACACGAAAACGATCCACCAACCATAGAATCCGGCGAATTACTCCTTCCAAACCCCGTACATCTCATTCATAATGTACTCGCGCAAACGTCATGCCTGTCAATAGTGATTTCTGATTACCCATGCATCAGCCGCATCAGATGAATGAGGGCCATGAATGGATGGCGCGGACCATGTTGCCGTATGCTCAAATAAGGAAAGGTAACTTGTTGGCTATTCCCACTGCGTATTCATGCCGATGTTCCATCTTGCAAATGTGATCCTCCACGGGAAGCACCGTGATGCGCCAGAAATCTCCATGTTTACATTGCGCATACAAACACCTCCAAAGACACATGGGCAAGTGCCCATCCGCCATGGATTTGCATCCGACAACCACCATATGCTCCTTCATCATCAACGCCTTATAGCTAAACTTGTGTAGAAGAGTGTAAACCTGGACTGCCTCGAAGCATTTGTCACGGGACGAGTAAACACCACCCACTTCCAACAGCGCATTGTCATTCGGGCTCTCTAATTCCCCATTCAATCTCTGGTGCCTGGTTCAGCTTACGTAGAGTGATAAGCTCTGGATTACTCGACATGTCTCGCGCTAATGAGCTACATTCGCGCCGGCCCCAAGCATATCCTGGAGTGACCTAGAAATTCTAGTATGAGGGGATGACCTACTAAGAGGAGTTGAAATCCATAAGCACTTACGAAAGTCAATGAAGTGACATTGATCCATCCTAGGGACGCGTCCCCTGAACGCCGATCCTGCGATCGACCCAGCCTAGGATCGTTTTTTTTGCGTGGTTAAAAAGGGTTCTCGAAGTGTTGAATGCAGTAAAAGGGAGCTTGGTGTGGTGGAGGGTCGATTTTTCACGATCGATCGCATGATCGTCATTTAGGTGACGCGTCCTAAGGGTTTCGACATGCTGACAAAACTGAACATGACAAAAACAAGACCAAACAAAATTAGCATAAGACAAACCTCGTCGGCGTGACTGCACTGTAGTGACGCTACACGTCGCACATTTGTCGTGCATGAAAGAATCGAAACCCCTAGTTGTTGTTTCGCAATTCTGACTGTAAAACCAAATGGCACCTGTAACGTCGACGTCGCCATGAAAGCAGCTTGAGGATAACGCGCATGCGCATGTAGGTCAATTTAATTGCAGGAGGTTCGATCGCCCTACCTGCGGTACGAGGTTTGTCGATGGAATTGAGGCAGGCGCGCGATCGGTCGCGTCGCGTAATTTTGCCGTATCGGACCCACGTGGACTAGCACATTTGAGACACCCTCTCATTAAAATCAATCAATGGCACTGCTCTTCTTTGGCAGTGCTCTGACGACGGGTGCTTGACTGCTTAAACTTATCCAGTCCAACCAATAAAATCTATTGTCAATTGTCTTCCACATCCACCCACAACTACCTTCCACACATGCCACCTCGGTCTGACCTGTCACCTCCTCCAATTGACATGTCCATCTGAATTATCCTCTCTACACTGCATGTCGTGTTAAGCAGGGATTAGCCGACTCAAAGTCGCCCCTTTCTCCTTCTTTTTTCCTCCTCTCATTCCTTCCCGCCTTCCCCCCCTCTCCCGCCACAGAGATCATGGACACCAGGGAGGGCCGCTGTGGCGAGTGGGCCAATGCTTTCACTCTCTATTGTGGGCAAGGCAGAGCTGTTTCACCCACGGTTGCCCCTCTTTCTCCTCCTTCCTCCCTCCCTCCCTCCCTCCCTCCCTCCCTCCCTCCCTCCCTCCCTCCCTCCCTCCCTCCCTCCCTCCCTCCCTCCCTCCCTTCCTCCCTCCCTCCCACCCTCCCGCCACAGGGCCGCTGTGGCGGATGGGCCAACGCCTTCACTCTCTGCTGCCGGGCTCTAGGCTATGATGCTAGGCAGGTGTGTGTGATGTGACTATAGTGCTGCCAGGCAGGCGGGTGTGACTGTAGTGTTGCTGGCAGGTGTGACTATTTGAAGTTGTTAGTCTTGTGTGGTGGCAATTCGGTCAGGGATATCGTAGCTTGCACGCATCTTGGAAGGTTCCTCTTGATTCGTGCCTTTGCAGGTGTGACACATACATGTAACGCTAAATGAGTTGCATACTTGTGTGCTTGCACCAATTGTCGCTTTGATTTGCAAGTGCATGTGCGTGCATGTGCATCCGCATGTGCATGTGTGTGCATGTGCGTGCATGTGCGTAATGTGTGTGCATGTGCATGCATGTGCATGTGCGTGCATGCGCATCCGCATGGGCATGTGTGTGCACGCGCATGTGCATGTGCGTGCATGTGCATGTGCGTGCATGTGCATGTGCACCTCGAGCAGCACATGCAGCACCAGCACCAGCAGCACCTCCAGCAGCACCACCTGCAGCTCCAGCACCAGCAGCACCTCCAGCAGCACCAGCACCAGCAGCACCTCCAGCAGCACCACCAGCAGCTCCAGCACCAGCAGCACCTCCAGCAGCTCCAGCACCAGCAGCACCTCCAGCAGTAGGCCCCCCAGCTCTAGCAGCACGGCTACAGCGCCGAGTGTACCACTCACGAAGCTGCCGTGGAGAGAGGGGCTCCCGCCGCGACGGGACACTCGGAGGACCTCCAGTCTCAGCACCCCCAGACTCAGCAACCCCAGGCTCAGCACCCCCAGGCTCAGCACCCCCAGACTCAGCACCCCCAGGCTCAGCACCCCCAGACACGGCACCCTCAGGCTCAGCACCCCTAGCAGCACCAGAGTCAACAGCTACCTCAACAGGCTCGACTGCGTCTACCTGAGACACACCTGAGGGGGCAGGACCCTGAGGGGGGAGGGGGTCTACCGGAGGAGTACCTGGCGCGAGGAAGAGCGGCGGGGGGGGGAGGGGGGCAGTGCGGTAGGGGAAGAGACGGTTGTAGGGAACCGACTCGTCAAACATGACGTCCTGAGAGGACAGAACACGGCGCGAGGTGGGGTGGTAAAACTGCCAACCAGGCGCGTCAGGGGGGAAGCCAAGGAAGACGCAGGGAACGGCACGGGAGGACAGCTTGTCCGCAGACAAGTCGCGGACGAAAGCTCAAGATCCCCAGACACGGAACACAGACGCATCGCCAACCTTCCCCGTCCACCGCAGAGTGGGGGTGGTCTCCGGCATGGAGACCCGGGGCTGGAGGTTGATCTGATGCGCCGCGTACTGAACCGCGAACGGCCACAGAAAGTGGGGAGCAGCCGCATGGATCATGGACGTACGAGCGACATCCATGACCATGCCAATGCGGCGCTCAGCAATCCCATTTTTCTGTGGAGAGGCCGGAAGCGTGAACGTCTGGCGGATGCCCTCCGCCCGACAGAAAGCTCGCAGAAGGTCGGAGGAAAACTCTTCACCTCTGTCTGAGTGCAGACGCACAACAGGAAAGTCCGAGCCGAAGCTCTTCCTGAGCTGGAGACGTGCAGCGCGGATCCAGTCGATCAACACCTCAGTGACTTCACCCTTGCGGCGCAAGGGGAAGACCGTGGTGTAACGCGAGTAGTCGTCAACAACCAGCAGGAAGTAGCGCTCGTGACCCTGTCCACGGACGCGGGCTGGGCCCCACACGTCCATGTGAAGAGTCTGTAGTGGAGCCTCTGTCGGAGGAATCTCGGAGGAGTGAGGAGCGGCGCGCTGCCGGCCCTCGACGCAGGGAACGCAGGTAGGGGCAGGCCCCGGAGGAAGGGGAGGGAGGGACTCTGGGAGACCGGAGACAAGGACACGGGAGGCCATGCCTCGAAGACGAGGCAGGGAGGGGTGACCAAGGCGGTGGTGCCAAAGAAGAGTCTCGTGAGCCAGGAGGCGACACGAGCA